GTGCCCTGCTATAAACGGTTATGTTCTAGAATATAAAAACACCCGCTCCAGTGGTGGCACATATGCAACTCCCGGGATGCAGCAACCAGCCGGGTAAGTTTTTTTTATTTTAATGCAGCAGGTTTTGACGCAATGCATTTATTATATGATCTAAAATCCAGTTTTAATTTGTAACATACATGACAACGACTAGTTCTGTGGCTAAAAGTGAAATTAAAAACGCATTTATCAACAAAAAAAAAAAATTTAATGACTACGATTATAGTACAACCGTTGAATAAGTACGTAGGTAGGCAGTGATCCGAAATAAAAAATATAAAATATATAAAATAATTTTTTTCTACTCGTAGTCAAAACCAGTTAAGAGCTTATTTGATTCACGTGTACCTAATGCATTTTTAATAAATAATAACGTTGAGCAAATAGTTGGCTATTAAAAAAGGTGTTTTGTATCGCTGAGACGATGAATTAATGAATCTTAAGACGATAACTGAATAAATATAACAATAATTATAATACTCTACCCAGTGAGTTAAAACTCGGAAGTTGTAGGAATTGCATATTGTTCTATATGATCTCAATTTATAGCAGACCCAACTAGAAATTTGAAGTATACAATAGCGAGTTAGAAAATTGAAAATTGAAAATGCATAATTTGCATATTTGGCCAATTTTAGCTAAAAAAATGCATATTTCATTGATTTTATATGCATATTAATCATATTTCATATTTTTCTAAAAAATTGATTTTTTTCTTTCTTAATCTGTATATTTCAATTAATATTGAATATAAAACTCAAAATTATCAACGAAGGTATTTATTGTCATCGCTATAGTCATCTTATATCAAATAATCGTCGTTAATCTAAAACAGAAAATCATAAGAAAGTATCCGTGGTTCAATGCAAGGTATTAGAAAACATGTATTTTTTTTGTAATTTAAAAAATACTGAAAAAATATTTTAATTTTATTTTCAGCTCAATAAGATGTCAAGATGCCAACCAGTTATAATTTTTTTTAATTATAAATAGTTTTTATGTATATTATTAATTTATTAACAAAATCAAATGTATTTTATTTTTGGAATTCAGAATAACTTTTTTACATATTTAACTTTTTTCGTGTATATTTGCATGCATATTTTATCTTTCTTAGCTCCTACAACTTTCGAGCCCTACAACTCACTATTCTAATATATATACTAGCTGCATTATTTGGCTTCGCATGGAACAGTCTTGACCGAGTCATACTTTTTAATGGATTATTACATTCACGATTCAAAGCCTAGTTTAATGTAACTTTTGGTTGTATAACAAATTAAACTACATTTCAAATGAATCGGTATAGTTTTGGTCGTATGCAGAACTACCCGGTTTCGCATCATGAAACCGTTTTTGCCGGTACAAATATTTTTTTTTTTAAAATCCCTTATTATTGCACGTCTAAAATATTGGAAACATCACCACGTCAAATTTCTAGTTCATTAATTTTGTAATATTGTTGTCAAACAGTATAAATATTATATTATAAATAATTATTAATAATAAATGATAAATATAAATTTTCTACTTATACCTTAATATGTAATCGAAAATCAAAATCACCAGAATAGATACTTGATACTAACACAGAAACATGAATTACAACAATATTAGATTTTATAATATTAAATTAACAAATCATCGGTGTCCTCTTCTTTCAATTATACAAATATTATATCCTCGAGTGGCACTTATTTAAATCGCCTTATTTTTCTCAACAATATTTAATGGTAGTGATTATGTACAACTATTAGAATATACTCTATGTATAATTTAATTAAGATTTTATTTACATGTATGTAATAAATTAAAAGTTTCTCATTAAAAGTACTCGAACTGTTGCTGTCGCAATTAAAATGTTTGTTAAAATGTTTAAATACAAAATGTTCTTTTTAATTCAAAAAGCCAATATATTTTCATGTACATGTCATATTAATTTTAATTTAATTGTATCGTCCTAACGAGCAAAACAAAATGTTATACAAAAGACTTTTCCTTATCCTTCACCTGACTAAAGTTGATAATAAATAACTAACATTTAAAATTTTTCGAAATTTGTTTTCACTTTTACCCTAGATTTGTTAGAATCAAGTCTTAATATTTATTAATATCTTATTATATGATTTTAATATTTTATACCAATACAAAGCGTTCCTAAATAATATACCTAATGATGATCGACTGCCTATTTCTTTTACACATTCAACTTCAGTTGACTTGAGATAATCACACACTTTGGTGGTCCTTCTATCAATTGCACGTGATTATTTTGTTACCAACATGAAACAAAATGTACATTCTCTAATATGAAAAATAAATATAAACAAGTGCGTTCAAAGCGCGTATGACGGTGGTGCCTACCTGATTACGTACTACACGATAATTCATATTATTTACTATCGATAACTTATCAGTACAATATACCTACATTCAAAATAATTGAGGACGTGCAAACATCATCAATATTTATTTATTGCTATCGTCCATACCTTGACAATTATACTTTTTGTGAGAATACAGTGATTAAAAATTATTTGTGTTGCATGTTAATGAGTGAGATACCTCGATAAGTCGAAATTCAAGGGATGTTATATTTTTTCAACTTATCGATGTTTTCGACTTACTAAGGTTTTCGAATTATCATGGTTTCATACAAAAAAAAAAAAAAAAAAAATCAAAAAGAGTTTTTTAAATTTATTATTGTATTTTATTACAAACAGTATTATGCCTAGCATTATTAACGCCTGGTGCCAAAAAAAATAATTTTTAGCGCCCTCACCCCTATTCTAGATATTTTTGAACCTGTAATTATAACTAAGTTTAAGCTATAAAAAGACTAAATAAGAATAGGGGTTTCATATAACAACTTATTTTGTATTTATTAAATTAATAGAATAAATAATCAACGCCATGTTTACTTACCCTAGTCTATCTACTTAAACAAGTTACCCACAAATTTTGCCTCTAGATTTAAATCTATAGTTTCCGTTATACCAGACAAAGTATGGTTCAACGATCTTTCTCTATCCAGATCCTTCATAATCAAATTTAACTAATTACGCACTGGTTATCATCTCTTACCTTATTGCTTGCAAATTAATTCTTAATGATTCCCTTCAGGCGGTGCAATTATCGAGATGTATTAGGTGTATAATTAAAAGAGACCCCCCCCCCCCCCGGTTTTGGGGGGCCCCGAGATCTCTTCTGATATCACTTTTGTTTTTTACAATATTCTTACTATAATTTGTAATATACACGTATTATATTATTTGTTTATGTTTATGTTTTCTTATTCGTTGTGTATTAAACAGTAAAATATTTGACACAAAAAAAACACCTAGCTTTTTTCGATTTTACGATTAATAAACGTTTCAGTTTATCCATATCAGTCATGTTTACAACCACTAATAGTGTGAGTCATTCCTTGCTATGCTTACCACAACTGCATTTCTCATTTTTAAATGCTTAGTTTTATCTGGCAAATATTTATAAAGAAGTGCAATTTCGTATGCGTTGAAAATATGAATTAGCTCATAAGTACACAATAAAAGCGATATGATTAAATTATTGGCACAAGCCGATTAGGCAAATAAAATAAAATTGTAACTGTAAAAACTAGTAATAAATCTATACTCAGAACACAGAATGTACGAGTTATCATTAGTTTTCCGTTGGAGTAATCGATGTTTTCGCAAGAGAACGGCATTTATTTCGACTTATCAAGGTTTTCGATTTATTGAGGTGCAGCTGTATTTTACAATAATTATTGAGCTTCTACAGTATTTTACAATAAGAATAAATAATTTAAAAATGAAAATCTGCGTTAAGGTTGAAATTAATAATGGAAAGAGAATGAGAATTGAGAAGAAGGATTGCATCAGAGAAAGAGTAACCAAGAGAGGAGAGTTTGCAGAATAATGAGTCCACAAAGGTTCAGATCCTGGAACCAAGGAAAATTAAGAATGGATAAGGAGATAGATCTATGCCGAGAGGCAAAAGGATATGATGGATATGGTCTTTGATCCCTTTGTCTACAAACATATACCACTAGAGTAGTATTTTTAATAAATTGAGTTTCTTTGACATGAAGATTTTCATATGTTTCAACAGTCCCTCTTAGTCAGAATCATAATTGATATGGTTTTCAGCATATGTTAAAAGTTTGAATCAATTAAATTAGTAATTTTTATCTTACAAGTCTATAAAATAAAATGTTAACTATACCATCATCAAATACTGTATACTTTACAAAGAAAAAATTAAGCAGTTAGATGAAATGTATCAAAATTATTTAGATTGCAGAATGTTAGCAGCTATGAGTGAAATTAAAATGTGGAAAATATAAACAGGAACTAAAGTTTTTCAAAAATGTTAATAATATTCTTCAAAAATGTAACATATCCATTTACAACTATCCATTACGCTCTATTGTATAAGCAAAAATCAAAATTAAAATGATGCATAGTTCGAGTCCATAAACCTATAAACGCGCGTTTATTAACAAAATTGCGAATAAATAGGGGTGTATCTAGAATTTTTTTGGGGGTTGGAGTCAATATTTTTACTAAAACATAATTCAAACGTATTTATTTTACAAGATAGTAATTTTGATAAAAATTAATTTCATAGCCCTGTATAGATCGAAAATGAATTATATAAATAACACACTAGCATATGTTTATAATTTTAAATTTGAATTGTATAAAAATATTAAGTATTCCTATTTTTTAATTTCGTTAAAATTTCGAGGAGGTTTTAACTCCCAAACTCTTTCTAGATACGCCTCTATGAATAAATATGTAAAATATAAACGGTTTGTATCAGAACTTTTATTTGTTAAACTTTGAAGAAGTATGGAGTATAGTAATAGTATAGAATAGTATAGAATCGAATATATGAGATATCAAACGATCATCCATGTACACAGAGTTCTTAAAAATGACAAAACTAGAGACTTAGAAAAAAAAAACGGATACATTTTTTAATAATATAAGTTGAAATGTACAATAATGTTATATAAATGATAAATACAAGATAAGACCCGTACATATTTTGAAATCCCAGAACATAATTTATTTTAACGTATTCATGGACGACACATGCGTTTGGTTGCGGAACTATAAAAAAGTTATTTTTTTATAAATGCATATAATAAACGCAGTATAACATTGTTATCCATATTTTAAGACTATAAGAACATGATTAAATCATACTATAATAATTATAGTACAATTATTGTACATAAACATAATATGAAAATATAACTATTCCTAGAAAGACCACGCAGTATTCTGCAATCGCATTACGGAGAAAGTCTGTAAAATACCCAACCATTTTCACCCAAGTGATAGACGTTTGGCTTTTCGCGCGAATACTCGGCTCGTTCAAAAACAATGCGATCGTGCAGCCTGTCACTTTGGCCTTGCCAAAATTCTATTGTCCTTGGAATTATTTTGTAGCCATTCCTGCGAAACGAAAACATGCATGTAAATTCATCACTGCATTATAGATGCTTTATTAAAATCAGTGAGATGCATATCAATATTGAGCACTGATTAAAATTCATTTTATTGTCTATAATAAAAAGTGAAGGGAAATCAAACGTAAATAAAATATGTTTAGAATAGAATCGTTTTATTATCTTAACTTGAACATTGAATCAATGTACCTATAAACTGTATTGTGTTAATTTATATTAATATATTCGGACATGTAGCCATAAATAGGTATTATTTTTTTTCCTGCAACTAGAATCAAGTAGTTAATAAGCTTGACGTAAAGAACGCAATACTGATTTATTTATTATTGAAGACAAATATCTATGTTTTGAGCGAATAATTAGTGAAAAGTTGTACGCTTTATTATAATCGCGTGCATACAAATAATAGATAAGGTAGAGGCACAGGTCCTAGAATATTGTATTGAAACCCATCCGATTTTTCATTCTTAATTTTTCAATGTATAAGATTATATGACGACAGTTTAATTAAAAGATATCAACATTTTTATTTTATTTTAAGCATTTTACTTTTTTATGAAGACAGTTTTTCATTAACAAAATAAAAAAATCAAGTGTTTCAAAAACAAATTCTATGCGCATCAATAATAATTGATAAACATTAGAAAACACATTTACAATTATATTTTATCATTATTCACCCGTTTTCTGTAAATTTTACGAAAAATCACATGATGCATTTTAATCAAGCACATACGTTACAGATTTAAGTGTTTATTGTGGCTTACCAGTACAGCGGCCTAGGTACTGGTTTGTCCATGTACTCGTTCTCGAGTTTTGCGTTCAGTTCAGACAGCACCTCCCTGCTGGCAATCACTGTGCTTTGGCGACTCACGTGCGCACCAATCTGGCTGCTCTTTGGTCTCGTGTCGAAATACTCCGTAGACTCAGCCTCGCTGATTTTTTCTACGGCTCCTTCGATACGTACCTTTCCACAAAGAAAATACAATCAACTACCTATACTTTATTGTGTATCACAAAATATATATAACCGACAAATACGAAAGCTTCATAATTCTAAAAATTGTAGCGACACCACGTGGGCCGAGGAATAAATAATTATTACGTGCCTAATATAAATTAATATGAATAAATTGAGATGATAGTAATAATAATGAAGTAAAATAAAATGTTACAATGAATAGGTTACGTACAATTTAATCGCACATGTATTTTGTTTATTGAACTCTACCTACTTCATTTTATTCTACCTTAACTCAACATTGAGCGCAGACATAATTGATTTATGTTAGAATATTTTTAATACCTGATATTGTTGTAAATTAAATATAGCCATAAAAACAAATTTTAACTGATTTGAGCAGGTACATATAGTAGTTATTCGATAGTTCAAAAAACACCATAATTCGAACTTAACGCTTAGTTCCCTAAGAAAATCTCTAAAATTAGAAAAAAAATACATGAATTCTGGTTCCTTCGATAATTCGAAATGTTTGTTGTTGAAAAACACTTTACAATTCGAATTCCCTTAAACACAATTATATGCATACTCATATACTTTCCTAAATCAGTTAAAATTTGTTTTTTATGGATGTATTCAACTTAATACCAACAAAAATACCAGGTATTAAAAATATTCTAACATAAATCAATAATGTCTGCGCTCAATGTTATCCCAACATTCGATATAATTTGGTACCAAGGTCTATTTCCAAAATAAAAAAATTTTACCAGCACCACTTAATTTAATAATTTAATCAAATATACAATCTCAAATCTCACATTTGTTATCAGACAAGACAATTCATTTTCTTCCAACTTAAAAATTCTAGCAGGAGTCCCTCAAAGAAGTAATCCATCGCCAGACTTTTATAACATATTCACTGCAGACATACCAAATACTGATAATATTCCAATCGCCACGTACGCAGATGATACAGTAATATTAAGTGGACATTGTGATAACACTGTAGCATCCTCCAATCTCCAACCGCATATTATTGAAATAGAAATATGGGTATCTAATTGGAAAATCAAAATAAACGTTTTAAAATTCTTCCATATTCCTTTCACCTAAAGAAATGACATATTCTTTACTTTGAGAAAATAGAAATTTCAATCAAAAACCAAATTAAATATCTGGGCCTGATTTTAGATAAATTTCTCATCCGGGGCACACAATTAAAAATAACAAGGAAAAAACTTAAAACTCAAATATTTCCCTTAACAATAAAATAATTATAAATAAATCGATGTTAAGACCCATTTGGGATTACGGAATATAGATTTACCAAGATATATACCATAACTGAGATACCAGCTGCACCAAAGCATCCCATATAAAAACAATTCAAGCATTCCAATCAATAATTCACCATTTGATAACTTTTGCACCTTGGTATGTTTCCAACAATTCGCTCCAAACTAGCCACTCACACCAACTCACTTAAAACCATTCAAGGAAAAGCCAACTTGCAAGAAAATTCCTCTCGTCGGTTGAAGAGACATTGGTGCAGAGATTTTATTATCATAATACCACATAAGGATACTGTCACTTGACAGCCTCCCTCCTCATATTAATTATCATGTAAATATTTTCCACATCATAATATCTTATTTACTTATTGTACATATCTAACCTATTCAATAAAAAAAACTTACTGATCGATCCAACGCATCCCAGTATATTGTCAATGCCGCAACTGGGTTTTCCTCCTATGAATAATAATAATTTTATATTAGTTTGAAATATACTAATCAGTTGATAGCGTTGTACTTAAAGAATATTTATACAAAACCAACAATCGCATTGTTATCATATATTATAAATAATATTTAATGAATTTTGATGAATAACAATTTAAAATATTTGAATATGTGGAGTTTTTGTAATTAATATCTATACTATCTCAAAAGTTAAAAAATGCGAAACACGGCAATAGTGTTTTATAATATAACATAGGTACTCACAAGTTCTCGGCCTTTACGGCTTTCTGAGTTTGTGAAGAACGTGAATCCAGATTCATCGAAAGCTTTAAGTAAAACGAATCTAGCCGACGGAATACCAGACCTGTAACAAACAAAACAGAATACACATACTTATAGGAGATAGTTGTAATCGTGCAAAAAAATTTTACTATTCCCTCGGAGTGAATTTAAAAAAATATTATTATAATTGATATAATTATTTTTTTGGTCTGAATTATGAATAAATTAAAAAAAGGGGGGATAACAAACGTATAAAATGTTTTCGATCGAAAGAAAACGGCAATAATAAACAGCACTGTAGTAGCAAGTAATTATTACTTGGTAGCTGTGGCTAAACAAGCGGCATTTGGCTGTCTCACGTCATCCCGTTCCGAAGCTTTTTTGAACCATATGGAAAACAACTGATGCGGGTTTTTCGATTCCAAGTTGTCTTCGAGCAAGACATCGCTCTTGTCCCTGTATGAGACTCTCAACTCTGTAAAAAAGGTAACCAAAATATAAATGTACGTAGAAACTCACAGTGTTGCATAGACGAACACTCGGATATTTGGGAAAATTCGCAATGTATAAAGTTACACTTTTACAATAATTGAATGTGAACCGAGGTTACTGTCATCTAAATGTTTGATAACACACCGATAAAATAAAGTTACGGGGCGTGCACACGAGAAGTGCCGAGTATGCTCGGCACCTCTTGAAATGTTATAAATAGGGCCCTCAATTTAAGTCTAAGAATAAGGGACCCATATTTTAACTGATGTTACTCAAATTAAATGTAATTTATTCTAAAATATTTGGTAAAAAATAAAAAATAAATAATAAAAATAAAAAAAATAATATAAATTATGTTTTGTAATAGAAATATAAAACAAAATGTTTTAAATTTTTGTACAAAAACTTCTTATAATAATATATATGTACGTTATAACAGCTAAAATTGACTACAAGAGTACAATTCATAAATACTTGTAATTGAAGCTATTTGAGAAAAATATACGAGCCTTCAAAGAAAACATATTCATTGGGAATAATATACTACAATATTAAATACCTAATATAATTAAATATACCTATACGTTTTTTAAGATAGGGCCCAAAAGTATAGTAGGCGACCCTTGAAATACAGTTTAACTGTATCAGTAACGCCTATGGGCGTATACAGTTTATGCGAATCGAATCGTACGACAACTTTAAATTTCGAACGCATTCGACTCTTCTATTGTAAACAATTAAGCAAATAAGCTAATCTTGCAAATACTTCCCCTATCAATACATTTATTGGAAAAACGAACCAATGCACAGAGTAAACTAAAATCAAGTGGGGCTCGAAACGTGACGATTAACTATCGACTTGTTGCGTTGATTAGTTTTGAAGATTTAAAAAATGTAACTGTCACATCCATTATGTACTATAAATATCATCGCAATATTTTGCATTGTATTTCCCATCGTATCAGTAAACTGTTCTTGAATTTCTTTAATTTATTGGCATAAATAGGTATAGAAAACAATAGACAATAATTGTAAAGATTTCAGCATTATCTACTTACACGTCATTCGTTAAAAAATGATGTGTTAAAATGTGTTTAAATAGCACAAAATGCTATTTATGATAAAAATATAGGAATAAAATTATTAATTAATCAATTTGGTCAATAGGCAAACGGGAATATGTAGGTACTGGCGAACTTGATTTGAATGATTTTTTTTACTAAATTAAAAAAATATATGTTGGGCATTTTAACCATATTTAAATACCTAATCGGATGATTTGAGTTTTTAGAAATTATTTTATACACTCCACGACAATCGATCATAATCAATATTATGTATTATCAACAATATATTATAATGATTATAATAAATTTAATTTTCATGAATTTGTATAAGAGTGTTGTTACGATGTGCATCATTTGAGATGGTATATTTTAGAAATTAATAAATAACTACATGTACATGTAGAATATAAATCAAACAATAAGGTCCAAGCCTAACGGTACACCATTGTAGTCTTAATGGGTCAATTCTTGAAGGAGATCACCTTTGGTCAAATTACCATCCTGTTATATTTTCCTACACAACACAATCATCAGAATCTTTAAGTAGCTTCCAGTTTAAAGTCAAGATTGCATCCGCACCAACTGTTAACCACCCCAATTTTCGCTACTTAAAAAAAAAAAAGCTCCGTCGTCAACGTTTGCACACTGACTTAGTCGATTTCATTATTCAAATGCGACGCAACATACAAACACAAATTCTGTGTGATTGTTAAACATTATTTCATTAAAGCATGTATCTGTATTCCGGCTCATTGATATCTAAAGGCAAAGTAAGTATTTATTTAGTTTTCCAGACTACTCATTTGCACTGATCTACTTTCAAACCTTAATAGCTCCGAACATCCTCCCTTAAACAACTTTATTCTTTTTTTTTCAAATTCTTTTTCCCTTTAATTTTGGATTTTTACCATATCACTATTTTTCTCACTTCAGTGGGTACCACTTATTAAGATTAGTGTAACACTGGATATTACATTTATAACTGTTGTGGTCAAAGTTATAAAATACAAGTGTATTTTTTCTTTTTTACCATTTTCTTTTTTATATAGTCAAAATAATAATTTGAAATCATAATGACCCAACGATTATTGATAACACATTTAGAATATAAATACAAAAAATTTCATAAGTATTAACACTATTAAATTGTTTTACAATCTACGCTATGGTCAATTTCATATTACTATTTAAATTCTGATGAAATAAGTAATTAGTTTAATTATTTATTTGCTCATATTAATTAAAACATATAGATTCTAAAAATAATAAGATTATCAAATTATATTTTATCTGCTAAACAAGTCAAACACTAATTTCATATTATCAAGCATATAAATTCACAATTATACTGATGAATCATTTATACTCGTACATAAATATAGATTATTAATTATAACATTTATAATGCAATAGAATTATTATGTATTTTTTAAGGTTTAAACTATGTAAGGTACCGTTGATTATTAACAATGCATATAAACATTTTTTAATTAGGTTTGATTATAACAAACTAAAATAATGATTTTATACAATATAACATAATATTGAATCAAATTAACTCTTGTAATTTTAAAATAAATTATTTAAATTATTTTGTAAAATTTATAATACAAGCATGAATTATGATAAAATCTTAAGTTTTAAGCAAAATATTATAGACTAAATTAAAAGAAACTATCTAATTAGTGACATTTAATTGTAAACATTCAGAACGAGCGTTGGCAACAGTAAATAGATGATAAAAAAAAAATAATAGTAATGATGACCGGTACCAGTTTATATTACAGATAATACACTGGACAACAGGGTTAAAAAAATAAGTAATTTCAAAGGTAATAAACAATTGAGAGAATAGCCTTCATATAGCTATAAAACTGTTTCCAAATGAATCAAATTACAAAAATATATCAAATATTTTCAAAATTAATTCAGTTGGTAACATAAAATTTAATAAATTTCTTAACTTTTATCTCAACCATAATACCATATATAGTTATTTCAACATACCCGTAAAATGCATCACTGAATTTTACATTACAATAATGTTATGATTGTTTTTTAAATTAAAATTTAATTTAATTATGTTTAAGAATATTAATAAATAAAACCAACAATTTTGGTATTTTCAATAGATTATTTAATACAAATTAAACAAATTTAAATGTGTAAGTAGATTTAGTCTTTAAAAATGAATATCTATTGTATAAATTACCTATATAGAAAGTTTAAAATTTGTTTCATTTTTATTCTTCATATTTAATAATTATGAGTAGGTTATATAAAAGAGTGTATTAACTGATAAGATAAATAATATTAATTATATAAAAAATTTAAGTTGAATCATAATTAAATAATAAATAATAATGCACATTATAAATAATTTATATTTCACTGAAAACCCAATCAAGAAAAAGGTGAATAAATAATAAAATAATTAAAACAACATTTAACTTAAATTATGTAATTTTGAAATATAAAAATGACCTATTGTTAAACTGACTAATTGTTTAGCTGGTTACAATAAAAAGTATGCAATAATATAACATATAGATAAAGTGAATAATAAATAATTATAAAAAATTATTCTGATGTAACAAGTTTACCCATTCCTACATTCACATTTTGTAATTTAATTAATTCTTATGTAATATATTTAATTGACAAAATAATTTTAGAATAAGCAACATATGACTTTTATATAGAAAAATTGTTTAACTATTTAGTGAAATAAAGTTCTTTTTCTTCCAAGAACAATTATTGCTTCTAAATAAAGTTTGAGTTGTACTATAAAGAGCATAAATATGCATAAATTAATAAAATAGTTCAACCTTGAATCTCTAACTATAATACAGCAAAGAAGTTTAACATGTGAAAGACATTAAAATACATTTTAATATTTCTAAAAAAAGTGAATATATTACAAACTCCATAGTGAAATTGTCTACAATACATTAATTTAATTAAATGTAAATAATATAAATGATAATTGTAATTTTAATATTATAATGGCACTGGAAATGTTGCTTTCAAACTATTAATACCTTGAGCATAAAAATCAGGCACTAATTCTTGCAACTTAGGATCATCTGACTTACTCCACTCTTCAATATTTTTTTGGGTATTTACACCAGTTAATACTAAAAGTGTCTTAAACCCACAACGTTTACCCAATAAAATATCAGTGTTGCAACGGTCACCAATCATTATGGTTCTTGAAGGATCAATCTTATTGGATTCCATTAAAACATTGCATATGTAGCTAGATGGTTTGCCAACCACAAATGGATCTCGTCCAGCACAAGTTTTTACAGCGCATACCAAACTACCAGTACCAGGCATGATTAAATTTGTACCAGCAACTGGAAAACTTTCATCAGTATTAGTTGCCACAAACAAAACACTTGGATCTTTGAGGTAAGAAGCTGCTCGAAACAATTTTGGGTAACTAAAGTGTTCATCAAATCCAACTAATACAGCACCCACATCAGGTTCAAGCTTAATATTTTCAACAAATGTAGGAACAGAAGTTTTTAAATAATCCTCACCAACACCAAAATGTTTTACATTTAATGCATCCAATTCACAAGCAATAGCCGGAGATCCAATAACATAAACTCGTTTGGCTGGATCAAGATTAGCTTTCACATATTTGGCAGCCAAAAAACTAGTACTAACCACTTCATTAGCCGAAGCTTGAAAGCCCAAGGAATGGAACTTTTCCAAAAACTGTACGTGTGATTTAGTGCTGTTGTTGGTAACAAAGAAAACTTTTTTGTTGTCTGCTTTGAAACCATTCATGACTTCTGTTGCACCTGGTAAAGTGTTGTTAAGCAGCCATAGCACACCGTCACAGTCTGTTAATACAGTGTCAAATGAATTGTAGAATTCCCGACGGCCCTCTGCTGATAGAGTGTCAATGCATGTAGAACTCATCTTCAATGTCTTGTTACTTAATTTCCTAGCAAAGAAAAACGACAATATTGATTTGGCAAACATGACCGTTGCAAACACTACTAGTGAAAAATTTGAGTGATTATTGTATATTTATAGGGTTATTGGTGCAATTAAGAAATTTTTTAAAATAAAATAAAACAGATGAATAGAAGTACTATAGTTCTAGATAACGGTATGATTTAAAAAAACGTTATGTGTAGTAAACGCAACTTACGTGCAATGCTAGAATCTGCCATGCGAATAAGACCAGTTGAAAGGTGACGGACACAGAACTTCGACAAATTATTGATAGCCGGGATCATATGATGTGTGTAAGTGATGTGTAATTGTCGAGTTCCGTTGACGCAGCGGAGCGGTGAAACGATTACACAATATTTACGTATTCTCTAATAGGTCACGGTCGATTAAGGATTTCCTGTGTTAGTTTACACGGTACTTTGAAATCTGGTTAGAAATGAATCAGGGAATGATGGTATTTTCAGTCCATCGGGCATTCACGAGACAGTGCGTTATCAGTTTATTTCATTTAAACAGCTGGTTAGTTATCGATTCGGCGATAGTCTCATCAACCAGATATTGATAACGAGTTATCACCACGAGGCGGCTGTTGGTAATAATAACAAACATGTGTTTTTCTCGTATTATCAATTTGAATGTTTTTGTGATTCCGATTCCGGTTTCACGCGGGAGCTGCGATGACAAGATGACCGCGGTGTCGGATAATGTGGATTTACATCTGAACAATGATTTCACCAATGATGTGGTTTCTAAACCGTTACCGACCATACCGGTGGATGGTTCTGGAAAACGGCAATCGGAAGAACAAGACGAATTCGATGAAGGTGAGCAGAAAAAATGTAAAACCAACGACACCGCCAATAATGTTGAGGAAAATCAAATGTCGAAAAGGCAAATCAAGAAAATCCAAAAACAACAAATGTGGCTGGAGAAAAAAGCATTGCGGAAGTGAGTGTAATATTTAAGCCATTTATTTGTGACGATAAATGAAATTGCAAAGTAATATTGACTATAGTTGTTTTTTTTTACTGTAAATACAATAATTGTATCATATATTTGTTTTGTTTATGCCAGGGAGGTAAATAAAGAGAAGAAAGAAAAAAGAAAAAAATGGAAAGCCCAAATGAGAGAGGCTGGAGTAAATATACAAAAAGCGAAAACAACCAAAATGGCAGAAAGTTCATGTAAACAACGTGTTGTATTGGATTTGTCTTATGATGATATGATGTCTGATAAGGTATTAAATTTTAAATTTTTATTTCTATTGTATAATATTTTGTTGGAAATAAAATATATTTCTGATAATTGAATCTGGTAATATCTGATTCAGTTTAAAAACAATTGACAGTTGACAATTAACATCTTTCTAATATATTTTCACTGTATTTAGAATTCCAACTACCCTTATTTTTATTCTTATGCATATCATATTTTAATTTATATTTTTGAAATATTTATGTTTAAAGGATTTAATAAAGTGTTCCAATCAAATACTAAGATGTTACGGTTTAAATCGTAGACTGAAAAATCCTTTGCAATTATATTTTTGCAGTTATGAAGGTAAAATAAAAGAAACTATGGCTAAACATAATGGTTCTGAGTATTGGGATGTAAGTTAAATCGTTTTTTAATTTTTTGCTATAAAAAAAAACTTAATTTTAAATACCTAAATCTATTAAAACTGAATATTTCAATAATAGTAATAATCATTTAATATTCAACTTATATATTTTTAAATAATTTTAAATACTATAATTCATTATAAATTCTAAGTAAAATGATAAAATATTTAATTTTTAATGTGCAATAATAATGTTTATTAAAAGTTAAAATGTATTTTACTTATAGATTAATTATATTGTAAAATCTTTTGATAAAGTATTTGAAAAAGAAGAAATAGTTTATTTGACAAGTGACAGTACAAATGTTTTGGACAACATAGATGAAAGCAAAGTGTATATAATTGGAGGATTAGTTGATCACAATTCTTGTAAAGTATGTTTGCTTTACATTCAATAATTTATGTAAAAAAAGTTAATACATTTATTTTTATAAGGGAGCCAGTTTAAAAGTAGCTGAAAATCTTGGCATTGCTCATGCAAAATTACCCATAGATGAATATATCAACATGAAAACTAGAAAAATCTTAACTATTAATCATGGTAATTAAAATGTTATGTTATAAACTAATGATAATTATATGTTAATATTTGATAATTTTTTATATTCATGCTTGATATGAAAATATATTAAAATTATAGTTCATAAGTATTTACATTTAAAAAGTAATTAATTGAATAAAATGTTTTGATATTGAATTTTACCCTGTGTCTATTGATCTTATAAATAAGATATATATATATATAACCACATTTTATTCACTAATTATTATTGAGAGTATAGATATTTAACCTATAATAAAATAATACAAAATTATATTTTTATTAAAAATTATTAAGTAGTTAACAGTTGTAAATTAATATCTAAAGAAATAAACAAATAGTTTATTTATAGTATTAATAATAATACTATAGGTTAAGCTTATATTATATATATATATATATATATATATATTATAAGCTATTAATTTATTTATACATTAAAATGTTATACTTAATTTTGCTTAGTATAATTATGAACTTTATAATTTAAATACTTCATATAATATTTAAATACATTTTTTGTTTTATAGTTTGAATTTTGATCTTAAATATAAAAACAAATTTTTATGAAAAAAATTTTCCATTTTAATATGATTTAATGATTTTGTAATCATAGTATAAATTTAGTTATTCAAAAATAGTTTTAATTAAAATTTTTTTTTAAATTACCAACTTTAATTATATTTTAAAAATAATTTTTAATTTTATTTTGTGACATTTTTTTTACAAATAATGTTTTTTTATATTAATAACTTGAGTTTATCAAATTATTGAGAGAGAATAATCAAACTTCATTTAATTTAATACATTTTAATTGTTTCAACAACATTTTTGTTTTTACAATGTTTTTTCTGTTACTTAATTTAATAAATACAATAATAAATAGATATATAGTGTTTATTATTTTGCATTACAATGCTTATGGTTTGCAGTTTATGAAATAATATCAAAAGTGGTGTCTGGTGTTTCCTGGAAAGATGCATTTTTGGATACTTTACCAAAAAGAAAAATGTTCTTTGCCAAAGATGAAGAAAAAAGTCTAGACTATGAAGATTCTTTAAATGGTATAGAAGAAGAAAATGACAACTTTACTCAACAAAATAATTAAATTTTGATATTTAATTAAAAATGTTCAGTTAAAATTTAAATAAATATTTTTAAAAAAGGTTAAAAACTTTACAATGCTATTTTTTAATTTTTATTATTTTGCCATATATTTGTTAATTTAAATTTTAATACTAAATTATTGTAAGTGTTATTTACTTGTAAGACAGAACAAGAACTAGAAAATTAAAATATATGCTTTGCTTTTATAAAGCCAAGCAAGTTATTAATATTTTTTAACTCAAATTAAGTTTAGATACTATCCTAAGAATCATAGCCTGTGATGATACCATGACAGAAGAAAAACTGCTGTTTCTGTGACAACAAATATTTTGCAGGTTTTCAGTTATTATCTTTGCATATTTAATTAAATTTATTTAACTTCTTTAAAAACAGTTTTTCATTAGTAAAATTAGAATTGCAAATTTATTACAAAAACAAAAATTATTTTTCAATTCAAAATAAAAATGGAAATTATTATTTCTAAGGTCTGTTGTGTGTAAATATATTTCAATTAATTTCTCCATTTTAATTGTTTTTAAAATATTCAAATATTAAATGTATATTATTTTGTTTTCATTTTCCATATATAATACACATGATTGGTACATTATGAAGTAGGCAATAATAAGTAAAAGCATATCACTGCATCAATGACTGAAAATAAAATAATTTAATCGCTTAATAGGGAAACCCTATAAAAGACAAATATTTCGAAATATATTTTTTTTTTCCATTTTCCTATAATAGTAGATGCATCAATTTATGCAGATACCTCCCTCAGTGTGTCTAGTTTACGTGGCCAATACGTGTCTTTGACAATTTTGTTTAGATCAAAATCCAGCTGTGAGACATCACTTAAGATATTTTTTTTATTAGTTTCTCAAAAGTATTAAGTTCTGGACTTGAGAGGTTTCTTCTGTAATAGGCGATTCAATTATTATACTGAAAAGTTTTATCTGAATTTGCAATTATGTATTCCAACGCCTTTAAAATTTATGATAATAATGAAATGAACAAGTAAACAAATTCAAAACAACTGATCGTTATTTTTAACACTTAAAATTTTTGAAGGTAAATGGTAAAATGGTACCAAAGTGTTGGGATATAAGAATATCTAGTAATATATTACTAAATAGTAATTTAGATATACATTATTCAATTTTCTAAACCAATTAATAAGCTAATAATCTGACTAACAACACAAATTTAAAAACAATAGCTCCATTTTTAAAAGGTTAGTAGTTAGTAGTATATAGCATAAAAACTATATATTTATAAGGTATTTTAATTTTTTTATTTTTCAATTAATATACGAAATACGTTTTTTATAATAATTTAATTTAGTATTTTTTTTCTTTCCATAAAATATAATATATTTGGCCAATCGGTCGTGTACTTTTTCGGAAAAACTTTGTTGTTAGATTGTACATTTTCATACTGTATATTCTATACTTCAATAATCTGTAAATCACTTTTACTCAATAAAAACCTATTTAATAATTTTCCTGCATTTTGAGATGTTTTTAACCCCTAAAACACTCCCTTGTGTACACGCCTGCAGTGAAACCTTTAAAAAACGGACCCTCAATAAGCCGAAAACCTGTCTATAATAGAAATGGTATCTTGTCTTGTCGCAAAATATGGAATAAATATTATACTGGATAGATAATCTGATAATTTTTGAAGGCCTATGAGATTCCGCCGTAGATAAATTTCACTGCATTTTAATAGATATCACTTTGCTTAGAATTTCATCGGTGATATAAGTGAACCCTGCTGCAAGTGGTTCAAATATTCATCGCTATTAAGAGTAAATAGTCAATTAATTTAGAGGTTAACGTTTTATACAATACTTAGATTTCAAATGACATGTCTTGTTGCTTCGCAACATTAGTTTCCTAGTAGAGATCGAACAGAGAGTTTATTATAGAATAATTGTCCAGAGATATTCTAAACTAAAGTTTCGTGGCCAAGATTCTAATAATTTCGTCAGGAATTATACAACAAACATCAGCTCTGATATAGTTTATCAATTAAAATTTTAAATTGATTTGAAATCTTATAACATTTTTAGAATTATATTATAATACTATATTGAAGTAGGTAGCATTGAAAGAGAAATTTAACAATATAAATATGAATAAGACCTGCGGGGATCCCAAGATCTTAATCTCGTTTTGACAAGCAAAAGCAATAATTTATTAAGTATTTTTAAGTTTTTGACTCATGTTGGTGTAGTGTTGATATCAATCACGTACATTTTTAATCCGTGTACCTACGCAGTAAGTGTGTTATTATTATTTTTTATTATTGTTTATAGCATCAACATTGGTTATTATCTTAATACAAATGTTTACATAGTTTCCACATTATATAGAGTACCTATTATGTAAATTTAGACTTTTCAAAGATTGAAAATTAAGTATTTGATATCTGATAATGTCAATGGACCAATTGTTTAGTATAGAGATGTTATGTGTAATAAAATATAGCGTGTAACCGCAAAGTATTGCATTTCGTTTAGAGTTTTATGTATTTTCGTACTTCTTGTCACTTATATTTTGAACAATAATTCAAACATACGTTCATAAGAAATTACGATTATTGATATTGTATATAGTATATGCTATTTTATAGGCATTTAAAAGAATTGTAAAAATATGCTGGCCAAAATAAAACTGATTTTGTATTAAGCAAATCAACAAGACGAAATTAATTAAAAAATATAATGACATTTTTTCATTACATATGCTACTACATAATTTTAGTTATGTATAAAGTTTTCAAAGTGTTTAAATCAATGAATTATTTGTATACATTTTCGGTTTTTTTTTTTTTTTACGAATTTTAACGTTTAGGCAGTGTTTACAAACCTATGATATTTTGATAAAAAATGATGGACTAACTATGATGAAGAAAATATGATCGAATTGTGTTAAGGTCAGAGCCGGTGAGAACTTTTGGAAGCTCCAGGGCTGATCGGTTTCAGGTCCCTTTAACTTACATTTGTTGGCTAAAATGTACATAGTACTTGTGAATACCTACTTGTACATACTTTAATACACTAAAAATATTTAAATTTGTATCTTATGCTACGGAGAATGAGATTATAAATTAATTTAGAATAAAAAGTTGTAATGATGGGCCCTGAGACTCTGCCTTTCTTGCTCCATTTTCTCGCTGGCCCTGGACAAGATCGTATAGTAACAATTTTTATTTATTACTTAACAACTATGTTAAATTAAATACATTATTATTATCTATTAATTTATTGTACGATTTATTTAGTAGAATTGACTATAGTTAAAAATTAGTTAGAATAATATAGCAAACGTTAACTGTAGTTAATATTAGTTAGTAGTAATTTGATATTAGAATTCATTGTGTTGAAATAAGTTAAACTAATTTAAATTAATTAAATAATTAGCTAATAATTTAGCATAAGATATTTTATTCATAAGATATTAATTAAGATAATATAAGACTATAATAATATAATAATATAAGATAATATAGCGTAAGATATTATATTTAATTAGTAGAATTTAACTGTAGTTGGAATTATTTAGCAGTAGTTAACTTAATTTAATATTAGCTATTATTAGTTTGGTTATAGAATTAAGGGTTGTGATAAGCTAAGTTAAATTTAATTAATTATTATTACCTAGTAGTTAAATGTACAATTTATTTAACATTAGTTAAGTATAAAGTTAGGATTATTTAACTGTAATAAAATAAAATAAAAGTGAAGTGTAATACTTCATTCTTGGAAATTCTACAATATTGTCTTTGACGTAAAAATATTGTTAGTTAAAACTATGGTGGTGAGGAAACTTACAAACACATACGAACACAAAATCGACAAAAACAATTTTAAGGATAATTCTGTAGTATACTCATACTACAGTTTAATCTATTAAGTATTCGATAATCTGTACACGGGTATTTATTTTTGATCGATTAAAGTTGAACGGAAGTTATTGACTAATTTGGACATTATTATTATTATTATTATTATTATATTTGAAGAGTACATGCGTACGAGTAATTCGATCGGTCCGATATACATGATAATTCAGTTACATACTTGATGAATATTGGGATACTACATCTGAAAATAATAAATTAAGTGCAAAATTAACATTAAGTATTGAGATCGATTAAAAACTATGAATCGCTAAAAAGAAAACCGTTTAAAAGCAAAATTAACTAGTTTAAACCCAAAATGGTACCCCTTCTTATTGCATATTTGTAACATCATGGGAACCATTATTCAAATTTCAAATTACTATTCGATGTGTAACGATCAGTGACTGGTATTTGAATTTTACATGAAACACGTCTGTTGTGTCCCGATTTGTCGAGTCTTTCGAAAAACGACACTTTGCCATTGGTACATCGAGACCGAGTGAATTAGGCTGTTGCGCTTTCCGCGCCAGTTCTCGATGACGATCTCTCATCCCCGAGACCTGATCAAGTGTTCCGAAACGCGAGTCCCGGCGCAACAGTCAACCAGTGGCGCCGACTCATTCTCACCGACACGGGTCGAACGTATTATATTAATACCGACTATCCACCCGTTACCCATAAACATTAGCAAAGCAACTCAAATAAAGGTAACTTTGGAACTTGAAGTAGTGGAACACGGTACTTAAGGCACGAGAGCCTAGGTCCGATCAAGTTTCGCGCGTTCAAAATTGAAATAACATTTAGTAAATTACAAATATGACCCTTGATCCATGAGGTGTGCGTCACTGCAGTCAACCCTGATGTACCGGCGCACTGTAACGGGTCGCAAATGATCCCGTTAACGGAACTCGGCTGGGCAGTAATCGAAAACGCACTAGACTGCGAGATCGTGCCCACACTCGGCGGCAGGTGGGTTGGTCATCGATTTTCTGACGCCCGTGCGACGTAGATAAATTGTACGGGGCCACAAGGGCGTATCCGTGAAAATATGTTTTCGATACACTTGTGAAATAAAAAAAAAAAAATTAATAAAACCTTGTCCTCTCCCCCCCCCCCTTATCCGTCCGAACGAAAGTCGTTTTCCTTATCCGTC